TGCAATATTTTCTACAGTCTTGGAATACAGAGTCTCAGCAACCTCCTTATGTGAAAGTGGATGGCAAACTTGGAAATGCTGCAAAATTTTGCCTGTTCTAGCCTTGAAGGATCTAGGTCCCTAAAATGTACAGTCATGGTTTCTTCATATGTATTGGCAATGCCATCCATATTATGCTAAGGTTGCAACTCTGGTTGCAATCTAGTTCCATGTTTTGATGAGGATGTTCTTACTAAAGTGCAAATGTTTGGCACACTGTTTCTTACTGAGGATCAGGTGGGTAAATTTCTACTTGAACCTCCTGGGTGGGTATGGCCATCTTTTCTCCCTCCACCTCCTCCCTCTTTAGGGGAGGTGATGGCCTAGTGGTATTATTGCTGGACTGTTAATCCAGAGACCCAGGTAACGTACTGAGGACCTAGGTTCGAATCCCACCACAACAGACAGTGGAATTTGAATTCAGTAGATATCTGGAATTAAGAATCTAACAATAACCATGAATTCATTGTCAATTGTTGGGGAAAAACCCACCTGGTTCACTAACATCCTTTAGGGAAGGAAGCTGCCATCCTTACCTGGTCTAGCCTACATGTGACTCCAGACCCACAGCAATGTGGTTGACTTTTAACTGCCATCTGGGCAATTAGGGATGGGCAATAAATGCTGCCTGACTAGCAATGCCCTCATCTCATGAATGAATAAAGAAAAAAAAACAAAAAACCAGCTGATCCAGCTTTGTGTCACCTCTGTTCATTATTATGGGGAATCCATGCTACTGTAGCCATAGCCATATCTAGAACCATATGGTTTGTACAGAGTTCTTGAAGTCAGGATAAAGACCTTTAGTGAGTGCTATATTACTTTGCAGAGAAATTAACATCTTCAGAGAACTTCAAAATCATAGCAGGTGGAAATAAATCCGCAACTCATGTAAAAGTTGGGGAGAGGTGGGGTATGATCCTTCTAAATAGAAATTGTAAGGGAGTCCTTTAAGTTGGTTTAAGGAATACATTAACTGGAGCATTATTCTCTAAAAATACAAGGCTGGTATTAAATTAGAACTACACACTGATTAAAATCACAATCTGTTTACTCTGCATGCTTCTAGCAGATGCTTCCTGCATGCATGATAACGTCCTCTCTAAATTGTCTTTTGAGCAACTCACACTACAAATGTGTCAGACATTATTTTGGAGCCAGAACAGTATTCACCATAATGACAAAACAAGTGCTAAGGAGCCAAATTCTGCATCCCATCTGTATAACAACATTATTTTGTTAATTCCAAGATAACAAGCAGAAAGGACCTGGGCACTCTTGTGCCTGAAAAGCAAAATAGTAGCATGCAGGTGCAGCAAGTAATTAAGAAGGCAAGTGGAATTTTAACCTATGTTGCTTTAGAATTGGTGTTTGAAAATAGAGACATCTTGTTACAACTGTGTAAGCTGTTGGTGATGCCACTCTTGCAGTACTGTGTACAACTTTGGCCTTTAAAGAAGGATATATTGGCATTAGAGGCATTTCAAAAAAGATTCACTAGGCTGATTCCCAAGATGAAGGGATTAACTTATCATTAACGGCTAAATGGTTAGGAATTTATTTATTAGAATTTAGAAGAATGAGGGTGCTCTGATTGAAACATGCAAGATTCTGAAGGGGCTTAATAGTGTAGATACTGAGAAGATGCTGCCAAGAGTCATGGAGTCTTGAATTAGGATGCAGAGTTACAGAATAAGAGGATACTCATTTAAAAGGAGAAAGAATTTCTTCTTTGAGAGTAGCGAATGCCTGAAATTCCCTACTCTAGAGAGCTGTGGAGGTTAGATCATTGAAAACATTTAAAGAGAAGGTAAATAGATTTTGAAACATGGAGGAACCGTGGGCTATGAGAAGCTGGCATGAAAGATGAGTTGAGGCTGTGAGCAGAACAGCCATGATCTTACAGAATGAAGTTTACAGGGTTTGAATGGCCTACACCTGCTCCCATTTGGTATGTTCTTATTTTGCTTGTCACATATGGGACCTGCCACTTCAAAATACATGCCAGACAGTCATAGGCAAATGGAAATTATCTATATAATTCATGCAGTCAGAAAACGGCAGTAAACTAAATGTGTAAGCAATATTTAAAGTGTAAAAACCACTTGTTATATTTTAAGTTATTTATCTCCTCAATGAGATTATCAATGCATCAAACATCTTGGCTCATAATTTTCTGTGAAGACAAACTCAAGGCTAATAGCACTTGTGTTATTTATGCACAAATGATACTGCAACATCAGATGAAGGCATATGTGTGGTTAAATGTGAAGATCAAATATTTGCAGTCCAAGATATACCACCCCAACATTTGTGAAAACAGCATCTATTTGGTTAGTCATTATAATGCAACGAACAGCATTAAACAGCATTAGGGCCAGTCAAGGACAGTAGTGGGAAGTTGTGCGTGGAGTCCGAAGACATAGGAGAGGCGCTAAATGAATATTTTTCGTCAGTATTCACACAGGAAAAGGACAATGTTGTCGAGGAGGATACTCAGATACAGGCTATTAGATAGACAGGATTGAGGTTCATAAGGAGGAGGTGTTAGCAATTCTGGAAAGTGTGAAAATAGATAAGTCCCCTGGGCCGGATGGGATTTATCCTAGAATTCTCTGGGAAGCTAGGGAGGAGATTTCAGAGCCTTTGGCTTTGATCTTTATGTCGTCATGGTCTACAGGAATAGTGCCAGAAGACTGGAGGATAGCAAATGTTGTCCCCTTGTTCAAGAAGGGGAGTAGAGACAACCCTGGTAATTATAGACCAGTGAGACTTACTTCGGTTGTGGGTAAAGTGTTGGAAAGGATTATAAGAGATAGGATTTATAATCATCTAGAAAGGAATAATTTGATTAGGGATAGTCAACACGGTTTTGTGAAGGGTAGGTCGTGCCTCACAAACCTTATTGAGTTCTTCGAGAAGGTGACTAAACAGGTGGATGTGGTTGATGTGGTGTATATGGATTTCAGTAAAGCATTTGTTAAGATTCCCCACGGTAGGCTATTGCAGAAAATATTGAGGCATGGGATTGAGGGTGATTTAGCGGTTTGGATCAGAAATTGGCTAGCTGTAAGAAGACAGAGGGTGGTGGTTGATGGGAAATGTTCATCCTGGAGTTCAGTTACTAGTGGTGTACCGCAAGGATCTGTTCTGGAGCCACTGCTGTTTGTCATTTTTATAAATGACCTGGATGAGGGCATAGAAGGATGGGTTAGTAAATTTGTGGATGACACTAAAGTCGGTGGAGTTGTGGATACTGCGGAAGGATGTTGCAGGTTACAGAGGGACATAGATAAGCTGCAGAGCTGGGCTGAGAGGTGGCAAATGGAGTTTAATGCGGAAAAGTGTGAGGTGATTCACTTTGGAAGGAGTAACAGGAATACAGAGTACTGGGCTAATGGTAAGATTCTTGGTAGTGTAGATGAGCAGAGAGATCTCGGTGTTCATGTCCATCGATCCCTGAAAGTTGCCACCCAGGTTGATAGGGTTGTTGAGTAGGCGTACGGTATGTTAGGTTTTATTGGTAGAGGGATTGTGTTTCGGAGCCATGAGGTCATGTTGCAGCTGTACAAAACTCTGGTGCGGCTGCACTTGGAGTATTGCGTACAGTTCTGGTCACCGCATTATAGGAAGGATGTGGAAGCATTGGAAAGGGTGCAGAGGAGATTTACCAGGATGTTGCCTGGTATGGAGGGAAGGTCTTATGAGGAAAGGCTGAGGGACTTGAGGCTATTTTCGTTAGAGAGAAGAAGGTTAAGAGGTGACTTAATAGAGACATACAAGATGATCAGAGGATTAGATAGGGTGGATAGCGAGAGCCTTTTTCCTTGGATAGTGATGGCTAGCACGAGGGGACATAGCTTTAAATTGAGGGGTGATAGATATAGGACAGAAGTCAGGGGTAGGTTCTTTACTCAGAGAGTAGTAAGGGCGTGGAATGCCCTGCCTGCAACAGTAGTAGACTCGCCAACTTTAAGGGCATTTAAATGGTCATTGGATAAACATATGGATGATAAGGGAATAGTGTAGGTTAGATGGGCTTCAGATTGGTTTCACAGGTCGGCGCAACATCGAGGGCCGAAGGGCTTGTACTGCGCTGTAATGTTCTATGTTCTATGTTCTAAACTGGTGCCCTTGTACAATAGAGATAAACTAAACTGAACACTGAAATCTCTGTTTTCATTTCAGGCTAAGTACTCTTTAAAAAATGAAATAAAAGTGTTAATTAATGCCTCTCAGGAACTGAAAATTAACTATTACCACTGTTGAATTGCATTCTTTCAGGTTTTCAATGCTGTTGGAGATTTATTAAAAATTCACAAGTCTTCAATTTAATTTGTGAAGGAGAAACACAGTTCTTTGCCCTGATTACTCATATGCCAGATGCTGTTTCCTCTCATTACAACGTTAAGAATGAGCTCAACAAATTGACATACTAAAATTTGTAAAACCTAAACATGCAAGGGCAAGTCTAACTAATTGTAGATCCTGTTCAATGCCCTGCCATGACAAATAATGATCCCTTGTGCTCTGGAACTGACAGCATAGCAAGCTAACATGTGGGAGTTACATTGTAAATTCACTAGCAATGCAGGAAAAAGCAATTTCAACTATTCTTGATTTAACACATTAATCCCCTGACTGCTGCTAGATCCAGAACTTCTGCAGTTTGCCTGGTTCCTCTGCATGGCACCTGGAAACTAGCTGTTTACTGGATACAAACTGAAGGAATATCTCCCCCAAAGGCATGTACAAGCTTAGATTCCTGTACCATTTTATAGTAACTAGTCATTTAACTGACAAAGCTTAATTGAGTGTTATAAATGTAGCTATTTTCAGCTGATGACACATGACTTTCCTCGTGATGAGAAAAATATTGAGTTTTGCAGACTATTCAGTTGCTGTTGCTTATGCCATCAATAGGGTCAAGATATAGATAATGTTCATGTGATAATACTCACATTCCAAATCTGGTTCCTGTCCAGTAAGATAACGAATTACAGCTTCTTTTTGTGATAGCTTGCGATGGTCCGGATCAATGTCAGTTACACAATAAAGCCTACCAGGAAAGATAAGCAAAGATTCCATCAGTTACATCTACAATTTTCAGCAAAGTCTGAGTTTTTAAATCCGTCAGTCTCCAAAAATATATTAGCATCAACTAACTACAAAAATGACATCCCACTAAATAAATCAATGTATTCAATTACTGGGCAGAATTTAAGATAACACATCATAATTAGCCATGCTTCATTGGTAGCTCTCTTTCGTTTGATTAGAAAGTTATGGTTCAAACCCCATATGTGTTTTGGTTGGTCCCAGATTTATTGTTCTAATGAACTATGCTGAATACACTTCATGAACTCATCTTCAAATCTACCATTACCAATTCGATGTGTTCAATCAATATGATGATGAAAATCAACCATATTGTTTGCAAGTATTTTCCTTTCAAGTTCCCATCTTTGCTTGAGTTATGCTCTTGCCCTACTGTGTAGCTACTTTTAGAGATAATAAAGTGTTCTCCCAAGTGACTTAATTGTCTTGCTATTTCTTATCTCTGACCAAACTGATTCTATCTTGCTTTTCTGAGCAAAGATCTTTCCTCACTACAATAATAAAACAAGGAACTAAAACAAACATAAACTGAAATTGCTGGAGAAACTCAGCAGGTCTGGCAGCATTTCTCTCCACAGATGCTGCTAGACTTGTGAGTTTCTCCAGAATTTCTCCTTTTGATTCCTTTTGATAAAATTAGTGCGCACTATTTTAAAAGGCTATCGTTGACCTTTAAGGGAGGTGTCACAGGTCATATAACATTTGGAGCTTCAATTGTCCAAGTTTCTGGAAACTTCTAAAAGTGGACTACCAAGGGCATGCCTCGAAAAACTCCTTGCGGATGTCATATCAGTAAGTTTCATGAATCATCCCAAAATAACAAGGAAAACAAGCCTTCAGACACTCTAACTTCAGATCTGCCAGGTAAAAAAGAAAACTAACAACATTGATATGCACAAGGAGATGCTAAAAATCTCAACATGCCTCTGATGTATCTCAATGGTTCTGACTATGGGAGTTGACAGCTACTTCATTAATAGGAAAATAACTATTTATTGTTTTCCATGTAGAATCAATGGCCAGTGGTTACATAGCCAAAACTCTAATTTTTAAAAAATCTTTTGTGTGACAGTGGACGGAAGCAATTACAGAAGAAAAATCACAACAAAAAACAGGCTTTAACATCTAGCCTTTACAGAGACAAAGGGCTTAAAGCTTAAAACCTCAACAAAACTTTTTCCAAAAGTGGTGTGTTTACTTGGAAAAGAAAACTAGCACTCTAGCTACAAGAATTATCAAAGCCACCTACTCTATCTGCTTTGCAACTCTTATTCCAAGGAATTCTGTCTTCATATATTTGGACTCAAATGAACTTCAACTCCAGAGTGCAAAAGCTCTCCTCCTTCACCGGACTAATACATTCACGTGAAATGTTAATTATGCATGGTCTAATATACTGTATCAGTGAAACCCCTTTCTTTTACGCATCATTCTTATTTATATGTAGCATGTATAAAGTAGCGATAAACCTTTCCAAGTAAATTGTGGGAATAAATAATGCTCCTTGTTTGAAAATCTTTTAAGTTTGCTGCTCGTGACAGTGTAAAAACTGACCAAACACAACTGGAGGCTTGGAAACACATTTCAGCCTTATGAACAATATAACTAATCTGATTATGGACAGAAGGAAAGTAGAATTGGAGGTTTTCAGCTTGTTTCCAACTCTTGTCCACAATGATATTCTTGTTCACTTATTGTCCACTTTGCAATATGTCTCTTAAGTGTGACTAGACCATACCTATTATTTCTATATGTAAGTCTAACTGATCTATCTTGTTATATGAGCTGTGTTAACTCAGGTAAAGAATCTTCAGTTTTGTCCTTTCATCATGTTTCCCCATTTCTGACTTTATTGTGCTAGTGAACTGATTTTACATGCACACCCTGTCTATTTCTGTCACACTCTGATTTCCATCCTCAGATCACTACTTTGCAACATTGTGTTGTCCTTTCACCTTAAATTGATCAATTTCACATCACTTGAACTTATCTGCTCTCTCCTCCCTCCCAATTTTGTTTAAGGTCCTACCACAGTTTAGCTGCTTGATTTGCCAAGACATAGATCTCAGCATGACTTGGGCAATGCCCATCCTAATGATACAGCTTCCCCTTTTCCCAGCACTGGTGCTAGTTTCTCATGAATTGAAATCATTTCTCCCTTCCCAATCTTTGAGCCAAGCAGAGGTGAGAGTATCCAAAGCCAAATCCTTCTATTCACTTGTGGGATGTGGGTGTCGCTGGCTGGCCAGCATCTCTTGCCCATCCCTAGCTGCCCTTGAGAAGTTGGTGGTGAGCTGCCTTCTTGAACCGTTGCAGTCCTCCTGTTGTAGGTTGACCCACAATGCTATTAAGGAGGGAATTCTAGGATTTTGACCCAGAGACAGAGAAGGAATGGCGATATATTTCCAAGTCAGGATGGTGAGAGGCTTGGAGGGGAACTTGGAAGTGGTGGTGTTCCCATACGCCTGCTGCTCTTGTCCTTCTAGATGAAAGTGGTAATGGGTTTGGAAGGTGCTGTCTGAGAATATTTGGTGAATTTCTGCAGTGTATCTTGTAGATAGTACACACTGCTGCTACTGAACATCGGTGGTGGAGGGAGTGGATGCTTGTGGATGTATGTCAATCAAGCAGGCTGCTTTGTCCTGGATGGTGTCAAGCTTCTTGAGTGTTGTTGGGGTTGCACTCATCCAAGCAAGTGGTGAGTATTCCATCACACTCCTGACTTGTGCCTTGTAGATGGCGGATAGGCTTTGAGGAGTCAGGAGGTGAGTTACTCGCCGCAGTATTCCTAGCTTCTGGCCTGCTCTTGTAGCCACTCTGTTTATGTGGTGAGTCCAGTTGGTCAATGATAACACCAAGGATCTTGATAGTGGGTGAATCAGTGATGGTAATACCATTGAATATCAGGGACAGTGGTTAGATTGTCTCTTATTGGTGATGGTCATAGCCTGGTATTTGTGTGGCGCAAATGTTATTTGCCACTTGTCAGCCCAAGCCTGGATATTGTCCATTGAACATGGACTGCTTCAGTATCTGAGGAGTCATGAATAGCGCTGAACATTGTGCAATCATTGGCGAACATCCCCACTTCTGACCTTATGAAAGAGGGAAGGTCATTGATGAAGCAACTGGAGATGGTTGGGCCTAGGACACCACCGTGAGGAACTCCTGCAGAGCTGTCCTGCAGCTGAGATAATTGACCTCCAACAACCATGACCATCTTCCTATGTGTCAGGTATGACTCCAACTACTGGAGAGTTTGTCCTCTGATACCCATTGATTCCAGTTTTGCTAAGGCTCCTTGATGCCACACTTAGTCCAATGCAGCCTTGATACCAAGGGCTGTCACTCTCACCTCACCTCTGGAATTTAGCTCTTTAATCCATGTTTGAAGGAAGGCTGTAATGAAGTCAGGAGCGGAGTGGCCCTGGTGTAACTCAAACTGGGCATCACTGAGCAGGTTATTGCTGAGCAGGTGCTGCTTAACACTGTTGATGACACCTTCCATGACTTTACCGATGATCGACAAATGGGGCAATAATTCACCCAGGTTAGATTTGTCCTGCTTTTTGTGTACAGGATGTACTTGGGCAATTTTCCACATTGTCAGGTAGATACCAGTGTTGTAACTGTACTGGAACAGCTTGGCTAGGGGAGCAGCAAGCTCTGGAGCATAAATCTTGAGTGCTATTGCCGAAATGTTGTCAGGGCCCATAGCCTTTGCAGTATCCAGCGTCTCCAACCGTTTCTTGATATCATGTAGAGTCAATCAAATTGGCTGAAGACTGGTATCTGTAATTCTGGGGACCACTGGAAGAGGCTGAGATGGATCATCCACTCGGCACTTCTGGCTGAAGATTGCTGCGAATGCTTCAGCCTTATCTTTTGCACTGATGTGCTGGGTTCCTCCATCATTGAGGATGGGGATATTTGTGGAGGCCCCTCCTCCAGTTGAGTAAATTGTCTGAATTCTGACTTATAGGTCTGAATTTTAGTTTGACAAGGAATCAAGTAACCATAACAGTATAAATTATCTGTAATCAATACAAATGCTTCTAGATCACTTCAAATTGTGTAGAATAACAAGTTTCCTTCGTTAATCTTCCATTACCATCAAGACCAGGGACCAATGAATTTGCTGCCTGAGACCAGCTTCCTGGTTGGTGAGTTTACAAATGTTGATCTATCAGTTCGCTGACAGCCATTTTGATAATCGCTTCTCTACTACCACCAGCACTTCATTTCGCTGTCACTCTGGGGCACCTTTACTATCTGTTCCATTTGCTCCTTTTCTCCACCATCCCCTACATTTCCACAGCATAAACCCCTTTACCTTTCCAGTTCCTTTCAGTTCTAAAGAAGAGTCATATTGGACTAAAAGTGTATACTCAGTTTCCCTCTCCCAGTTCTGTCATACCTACTGAGTTCCTTCAGCACTTTGTTTTTATTTAAAATTTCCAGCACCCACAAAACTTTGCTTTTAATTAGCTCTTTAATTCACTGTCACTTCTCTTCCTGGAATGTCTGTCTCAAAGAAGTTCTGGCTCTCTCTTTATTCCATTTTGTTTCTCAACTTGTTTGCCTGCATTCATTTCTATTTCTTCCCAGTGTTTGATTATTCCTCAGTGTCTGCCTCCAGCTCTGACTTGACTATGTAGTTTCTAACTGAAGTTCTATCCTTTGTGTTCTGAATTCACACAGGAATACAGGAATCTCTGAAACATACAACATTATTCAGACAGCTGTGCACCACCACTGGCATATTCTTGATTTCTGTTTTCAGCAGTACTGCTTCATACTATTTCAAAGCTTTCCTAGCCCCCAGTTCAACAATAAATCTTTTTGAGATAACAAGGTGTAGAGCTGGATGAACACAGCAGGCCAAGCAGC